GGGGCTCCTCTGGAATGATCATGGAAGTGGCTTCCATGCCCCATGCTTTGGTTTTCACCCTCATCCTCCTGGAGATAAGGGTCCTCTCCCTGGAAAGCAAGGGGAGGGGGAGGTGCAGCTCCCTCATGTTGGGCTTCCTGAAGTGGGGTGCCCAATGGGGCACCCGGGCGTGGAGCAACAGGGCGTGGTGCTCCTTGATGTCCAGGATGTGGAGCTCCTTGGGGTGCTCTATGTTGTGCACCTCCGTGGGGCCCTCCATGTTGTGCACCTCCGTGTGGTGCTCCACGTTGTGCACCTCCGTGTGGTGCTCCACCTTGGGGTCCTCCATGTTGTGCACCTCCGTGTGGTGCTCCTCCTTGTCCAGCAAGTATGAGTTGCAGTAACTGTTGGTTTTGAGCAACCAGTTGCTGCATGGTCTCCAATATTTGTTGGGGATTCGGGGCTAGAGTATCCGGAACAGGGTTGATAGGCGGGGGAGCAACCTCCTCCTCTCGTGGAGGATTGTCTTCGTGTTGGTTCATGGATCGAGTAGTGATCGCCATTAGTTAATGGATGTAATGTTCAGGAGTGAGAATTTTGTCGATTTCCCACAGACGGCGCCAAACTGATGATGCACAAAAATGGTTTTGCACACCACCTGTCAAGTGTAGGTAATAAATGCAATGAAATCAATGAGAAAATTAAAGAAGACACAATTTATAGTGGTTCGGTCAATTCGACCTACGTCCACTCTTCAATGGCTTCAGTTGCCGGGTATTTTATTGATTCAAAGGTATGGAGAATGGAGATACAAGCTTTGAGAGGGAGAATGGAGAATCAAAAAAAATAGTAATCTCCGGTAGTCGGTTCGTCCTCTGTAAGTCTTGGTGGGGCGTGACATTCATCTCTCTCTTCTACCAGATTGGAGCTATTTTATAGCAGCTAAGAGATCATTCTTGTGGAGATCATGACATATCCTCAAGGCTTCTTTATCGCAGCTAAGAGATTATTTTTGGTGGAGATCACGACTTATCCTCAACGGAAGGAGGAGGTTGGGGAGCTCTTCACGAAACGTGGTCAAAGATTGGACCGTTTCCTTCGGTGGTGCAGATAAGCTTCCCGTGCTCTCCTCTTGGCGACGTGCTAAGCAAGAAGTCTAACCGGTCTTGGACTGTCTTGGACTTGGTGGATTTGGACCGTTTCCTTTGGTGGTGCAAATAAGCTTCCCGTGCTCTCCTCTTGATGACGTGCTAAGCAAGAAGTCTAACCGGTCTTGGACTGTCTTGGGCTTGGTGGAATCAAAATGAGGTTGGGCTCCCCAACTGGAGTTGAACTTTAACACATAAATTGGACTATTTGGGCTTAACCCATCACAAGTCAACAGTGAGGCATACTATCACCATCCAAGGTTTTCGTGTTGCACCCCTTTTTATAATAATAAAATAATAATAAAATAAAATAAATAAAAAAATGTGCAGGAAGTATTGGGTTGTGTTGGATATGCATAAGACATGGATAACATGTAAATATTCATGCCTCAAGACTACAACCAGGCTTCTAATTTACCTTTTTCTGGACCCCCTTGACTGCAGTGTAATCCAACCCCTGAGAAGCCAGGAATAAGAATTTGCTAGGACATTACAAAACCTCCTCCAGTTTCTGCTACAATCAAGAGGAAACAGCCTGAATTCAGACTGAATCGATCCCTTCAACCTGCTGACGAGCAAGGTACCTTTCCCTCCTTTCTTTCCATTCATCTATAATTAGTCCATCTCCAACAATTCGTGGACCTGTGTCTTCTGGAGGCTTTTTGCATGCCTCAAGCTCAGCCTCAGCCTCGGCCAATTGACGATTAAGTTTCTCCAGTGCAGGACAAGGACGTTCTGTGTCAAGGAAAACAACTCGCAAAATCTGCTCCTCTGTTACTTGATCTCTTTGCTCATCAAACAGCTCTGGTACATAATCCATTTCTCCTTTCACTCTCAAGCTCATGATCTTGAACTTGACCCTAGTCTTCAGACCTTGTATTTTCTCATCGTTCTCTGGATGCTCCACAAACTTGAATACAGTTGCAATTAGACTTTCACCAGGAGCAAGTATTTCACCAGGAGGACGCATGTAACAACTCTTCGGTGCAGTTGTTTGAAACTTGAAAGCTACATGAGATTTGCTGATGTTTTTGACCCTGATTGCACTCTTGACTTGTTTACCAGGCTCATAGGGAAAGTAGAGTTTGTTGGGGGGATCAAGACTGAGTCGGCGCCGAGTTGGAAGAAAAGACTTTGCCACGGACGAGACCAAAGTCAGAGAATGGACGTCAGGTTGATCCACAAGCTGGTTTTGGTGGTGAACACTCAGGGAAGAAGAAGATGAAGAAGAAGCATCAGCATTGCTGGAGTGCCAAAATGGCATTCTGCAGAGACTCCAAACCTTCCCTTCAGACAGTGATCTCTCACTGGTAACAGCCATTCTCTTTCCGCCGGAATCCGACCCACTTGGCCGGCGACCTTCTACAGGTACCGCCGTGCAGTTATTGGGTGGTTTCTATTATGGAAATCATCCCCACTTTTAAATGTGGGAATGCGAATGATGAATCGTTGGCATGCGTGTGTGTTTGTGTGTTTATTGAGCCATCGCTGTTAGTGTTCGACTTTTCTGGTTGATATGAACGAGGAATATTAGATGAACTTAAAAATTAGAGTTGATAATTTTAATCATTGAATAGGTTGTAAGTTCCAATAAATACTGGAACTCACAGTAAAATCAATGGTTAAGATTATCAAATCTAATTTTTAAGTCTATTTTTTAAATACACGTAGTATTGCTCAATATTGATATATCAATATATGTATGAGGTGGTGGTTGGCATTAAAAAAGGATAAGAGTATAGAAAGCAAACATAACAAATTTAAAAAAAATGCATGCATGTCCACGTGGAGTGTATGCCATGTGAATGGGATTTTTGGTGTCTCAAGCTATAGCAAGTGTAAATGTTAGAATGTAATAAAGAAGAAAGAATTCACAGTTGTCCAAACCATGCCTATTTGGTATGTGAGGTGTAAAATTACCTCTCTATTTGATAATGTAAAATGTGTCACTCTATTTCATGAGCTTGGAGTGAGTAATATCCAAATGCATCATCTGTGTCATTTCTCTTCCTAATGCTCATTTTTTTAATTAGCGATTTTTTTTGTTATATAGTGGTTTTACACACAAACATTTCATCAAAATTGAGTATAATGTTAACCAAATAAAAGGGACAACTTATCAAAATTGAGTACAATCTTTTGGTTATTATGGCTGATATTTTAACTTGGGTGTGTTATGGATACATAAAGTGAATTTTTGAATGAATTTATTTCTTTGTTTGCTCTTTTCTTTTGTTTTTGATTACGCTATTCTTTCAGGTAGCAATTTGTAAGTGGTATAATTTTTCACTTTATAATTGTTATGCAGATATAGAAAAATAGCTTATTTAGGTACTGATGTTAATTTCTTAAGCTTAAAGGTTGGAGTTCTTGAACAACTGAGAGGTATGAGGTCTTGAACTTAGTGATATTTACCAGTTTCTCATTAGTTTGCATTATTTCCTTTAGCTTTTATGGATTTTTATTGGTATTGCTGTATTGATACGACTTTCCCAAGTAATTTTGCTTTGTTGGAGTAATACAACTATTAGTTTCATGTATACGTGACACTAATTTTAATCAATGGNTGGTTTTGAGCAACCAGTTGTTGCATGGTCTCCAATATTTGTTGGGGATTCGGGGCTAGAGTATCCGGAACAGGGTTGATAGGCGGGGGAGCAACCTCCTCCTCTCGTGGAGGCTTGTCTTCGTGTTGGTTCATGGATCGAGTAGTGGTCGCCATTAGTTAATGGATGTAATGTTCAGGACNAATTTATTCGTCACTATAATCATGACCATGATCATATTTATTCATCATACTGGGGTGTCCTCTTGCCTATTAGCGTATTGCTTGGCTTTTGTTGGATATTGAATTGGTCTTTGTAAAAACGTCAGTTATTCATTTACTTGGAGTTGATCAAATTTTAATTCTTGGTTAATTCTTGATTTTAAACTTCTCTTGCAATGATATGTAGTGAGGATGGTTGGCTTGGATCCAAACATTGGGCACACATTGCCAAAATTTTTATATGTAGGTGCACCGACAATGAGCAACCACTGATGACGATGGTAACGAGCAGTAACCAGGATTCTCCAATTGTCCGAAGGTCTGTGAAGTTATAGCCAAAGAGGTCATTAAATGTATGGTGCTAAAATATGTAAATTGTAGCTAAAATATGTAAATTGTGTATGTGTTCAATTTTTTTGAGTTATGTTTTTAGAGGTAATTTTGTCCCTTTTTTTTAATATATTCATCGGTTCAAAATATTTATTGTTATTATGTGCTTTGCATTTTTCTTTTGTTAATGTTTATATTTTTTAAATGATTTTTTTCGTTACATAAAGTGTCTTTTAGCACGAGCAATAACTAGTACTTCGATATAACCCTTTGAAATATAAGTTAGGTGTTCCTAGTGTCATTTATAAATTTAAATACTACAAGAATTATATAAAAATCCGGCATTTAATTTTCAGCATTTAACTTTAACGCCATTAAAACTGGCGTTTGTTTATAAATAATAAAAAAAATTCGCTTAATTTCCGACGTTTAAGTCAAACGACACAAATTCTTAATTAAAAATAATAAAAGGCTTCTTTTTTCCTCCCCCAACATAAACCTAAATTTTTTTCCCAATTCATTCTCTCGACTTCTCTGGCGACGACGCTATTCTTGAGCGACTCCTTGTCGTTGCCCCTCTCTCAGGTGACTCCATGTCATCCCTCTAACAGGCGACTCCTCTTCGACTCTCTCTCATGCGCACCTCTGATCATTTTCTTTATCTCTGATCGTTTTCTCTGTGAAAGTATCGAAAACTTCAATGTTGTCCTCTAAATTTTGCGTCTGAAATTTTTGTTCCAACATTGTGTGTGTGCGCGATATATATGGACAAAGAAATGGAGGATTTCATTGAAGAATGCTTCAAAGTTTCGAAATTTGATCTGGATTACGAGTATAATTTTGCCCGATTCTTCAATTTTACTCGGCGAGAGACGAATTCTGAGACAGATGAAGTTGAGCGCTGGTTCGAATTCGCCGAAAATTATCCGCATTCGCATAAGTATTTTATAACCAATGAATTTATGTAAACTAGGTTTGATACTAAAAAACATTAACAAATTAATGTTTATATCTTTGCATTATGTTCCTATGTTATGTATCATCATTTGTTGATTGAACCAATATAAGGTCTTGTTTTTTGTCCATTTCCTTGCATGTAAGTTTTTTTGCTGGAGTTGTTAGACTGATTTTTGAAATATTGCGATTTTTGTCATTGATTTGACAAAAAGATTAAGAGCAAAATGGATACTTCCGTTGGATTTGCTCTTCCAAAACAAATTATGCAACTAAGAATTTTTTGGAGTAACGTGGTAATACTGAAATTCGAATTATTGGAAATAGAACCAGATATGTATATGCATCAAGGTTGTTTACTTTTTGTGGATAAGACTGGATAATGTACTATTGGATTATGTTCTTTGTGGTTCTGTTCATTCTGTGGGAATCAGTGTGAGGATGTAAAATTCGGGAAAAATTTAAATTTTTTCCAACAAAGGGCAAAATGGTAATTTGACACTATAATACGGAATTAAAATACGCATTCTCTAGAGCTCGTATGACACAACGGACTTCGCCGTTGGATTCGTGTCGTGTAAACTAGTTATCCTGTCGAATTCTGAAATAGTCAAATTTTTACACGTGGCTCGATGCGGCTGGGTGGCGAATAACTTTTTAAATGTCCCCAAAAACAAGTTTTATAAAAAAAAATTATAATTGGATAAAATTTCAAATAAAATTAATTTGAACTTAAATCGAGATGAAATAAATCGTTTCGGGGTAAAAACGGACCCGAATAAGTGAAGGGCGTGTGGCGCAACTCGGGTCAAATCTTCAAAAATATAAATAGGGGTTAAAATGAGATTTTTCTGAATATCTCTACAATTTCAGCCAAAAAAGTGTGAGAGAAAGAGGGAGAGAAAAGGGAGAAAACCAATCTTCCTTCGCCGATTCTCGGAGTTTCGTCGGTCGGAATTCATCGAGCTAAGAGTTAAAGTTCATCTCCTCAACGAGGGCTACGCATATGTACCAAAAAGAACTTATTTCACTAAAGATCCAAAGAGAGAATTTTGGAGAAATCAAAGTTTTGGACTTATGAGGTGTTCTTAAGGCTTCCTACCATTTCTACTACGTTCCAAGAGGTAGGATTCTTCATACTTTGATTTTATTTCTACCTTTTGGGCTGATTTTTGGGGCTGCTATATGGCCTATTTTGGGGTAGTTTTATGGCTGTTTAGGGGCTCTATATAGGCTATTTTGTGGGCTGTATATGGGCTATTTTGTAGGCTGTATGTGGGCTATTTTACGGCTTGTTTTAGGGGCTATTTTGTGGATGGATTTGGGGCTGCTATGTGGTCGATTTAGGGGCTATTTTGTGGCTTATTTTAGGGCTGCTATGTGACTGAATTTGGGGCTATTTTGTGGGCATATTATGTGTTTACTTTATGCCCAGAGAATTAAGTGTGTTATTACTTGATTATATAGTAACAGAGGATTGTGATAGATAAAATGTTGATATATGTGTATTAATATATTGACATTGTAATAAGTTTTTGGAGGTTATATGCATATGATATAATTGTCCATGATACATAATGAAATGTGTTGGAAAGAAATGTTAATATGTGCTCATTGAAATATTGACATTGTAATGATTTATAGAATTTATATGCTTATGATATGAATTGTCATAGAACATGTAGACATGTGGTTTAAATTTCTTAATGAGCATTCATTACCTTGGGCATGATGTTGGTAGTGTAATGATTCATTACATTGCATATGTATGGAGAACAAATCGTATTTTATAGGTGTGAGTGCATGGTTGGATCAATCACCATACTTGGTGTTTTGATGGGTGGAGTTGAATATCTTACTAAGTTGCACGGTTGCATACGTGAAAAACTTTTGTCGGGTATAGTAAGAAGGGATAGATCACTCCTCAAGTGCAAGGCCCGACCACTGGTTTATACACTTGCTACGGTGCAAGTCCAAAAAAGTATATCGGTGTGTGAAATCGGCGGTGCAACCCCAAAAGTCCACTACCCAAATAAAAACACATGATTGTTAGTTATATAAATGATTCATTTGATGGGAAACATCCAGAAATGAATTGGTTTTATAAACACTTGGTTTCTATCTTCAAATATGATCATTGGATGTATTTTATCAATGACAAGGATTTTTACACTTGCATTGCATAATGTGGAGTGAGCCGGTGAGGGCTTGGGTTGATGTGCGTGAGTGAATCTCATTTCATTCATAGCATGACATGGTAGATTCTAACATGAACATGTATATTCTTGTTTGGAATGATTGTGTGAATGGTGAATGTTGTATGTGAACATTGCACATGCACTTAGGTAGGGAATAGCCTCTGTAGGACTTACTCTACTGGGCGTGGCTCACCCAATACGAAAAAATATTTAAGGTGCAGGATATACGCCGATGAACTGCTCTCATTCGGGACCATAAGGATGAAGAAAGTCGATGTAAACCCCACCCTTTTATTCTTATATATGTATGTGGGTTTATGTAGCAAGTTATTATTTCTTTTGGAAATGTTAATATGGAAATTCGAGAAAATAATAGTTAAAGCTTAGTTTAGCTTGCAAATATATGAAATCGTTGTAATAGCACTTGTACCAACTAGGTTTGATGTACAAAAGCATGTTGAATAAGCATGGGTTGGAATTGGAAAGGTTTGGAATGGATTTGAAATGAAAAATGGAGGTTTTGTAGAAAAACAGATAAAACTTTCCAGAAGGTCGATGAAAAACCTTTTGGAAGGTTAAGGTAAAAGATTTAACCAGTAGGCAAAACCTTTCGGAAGATCTCTGGAAAAGTTGGCCTAATAGGCAAACCTTCCAGAAGGTTAAGGAAGATGATCGTCCAATAGACAAAACTTTCTGGAAGGTCAATGACAACCTTCCGGAAGGTTAATGAAATTGGTTTGTCAAATAGGCAAACCTTCTAGAAGGTCTTCAAAAAATCTGAATTTTTAAGTCGCGAATAGCCGGATTTCCTTTCACTATAAATACTTAAGGAAAACTCCTTTAGCCCCATTTCAACACTTTTAATCCTACAAAACCTTAGAGAGGAGGAAAGAGAAGGAAAAACAAAGATCAAATGGGCTTTGCACTTTGGATTGAATCAAAACCCTAGATTTTTTCAAAAACACCAAGGTAGGGGATTTTCTTTCATTCTTGTCCATTGATGCTATGGCTAATATATATGTATTCTTTGACTCTAAATCTTATATATTTGCTATGAAATCATCTTTTCTTGGTCTTCTTGCAATCATTACCATGTTTTAAACAAAGTTATAGTTATATAACCATGAGATTTCTTTTCTTGTCATAAAACCCTAGATTTCAAGATAAATGAAATTTTTCTCTTGATTCTTTATTTATTCTTGATTTCGAAACTCTAGTGTTTTGTGTTGAGTAATAAAATGGTATTTGCAATGATCTCTTGTTTATTCTCTTAAATTGTTCTCTTGTATTACAAATTATAAAATTTGAGAATTTATGATCTACTTATGGTTTGAGAATTTGGTTGGAATTACATCTCTTGTATGGTTGTTGTGATGGACTTGAATTGCATTTGAGCACTGTCGTAGAGTGTTAGAGGTTAGTCTATCCTAGTGGGGGTGAGATGATTTCTTAACACTTGTAGTGGTTTATTGTTTGTGAGAGTAACCACTTTTGTTCACGTAAATTCGAGGCTGAGGGATGGTATACCTTTCCTAGGACGGATTTGTCAATGTCGTAGGAGATGGTATACACCCTTCCTAAATTGGTTTGTGTGGTTATAATTGGGTGAACGAGGTAGAGTCGTGGTGTAGATTCATGAGAAGCAACCAACATACTTGAGATTATGGATGACACTATTGAACAGTTATGGTTATTGTTCATTGTACCAGAAATAGTTTCTACAAGAATTTTAGGAAGTATGAAATTCCGCAAGAACTTGGGAGAAACAGTTTATGGTGGAATGAATTATTAGTCGTATATTGGTTTCACTTATGCCTTAAATTACTGTTGTTGCTTAAACTTAAGATATGTTTAAATGTCCCTGTTTTCTTTATAANTTAAATTACTGTTGTTGCTTAAACTTAAGATATGTTTAAATGTCCCTGTTTTCTTTAAAAAAAAATTCATATATGCTATTTGTGAAAGGTGACTGACCATTTTTATATGTTTTTCTAAATCTTGTTCGAGTTTGGGAGGAATGTTGCTACAGAGCTTAGTGCTCACCCCTACAAACTATATTTTTCAGATTATGGTTTAGAGGAGGAGTTAGGAATAAATGAACAAGCACATTTGGAAGCTCCTATAGAAGGGAACATGGATCCCGAGGTGGACGTCTAGAGTTATATTCTCTTTTGTTCTAGACTAAGATATTTATTTTGAGACTATGTAAAGTCAATCCTTTTGTAATTCCGCTGCATGTTAAATTTGATTCTTTTGGGATGTAATTGTCATAGCTTGACATATTCTTTTGGATATAGCGGCCATGGTTGGCCTATTCTTTGGGATAATATTGTAAATGTTATATTTGATGGATTAAATTTCTTTAATGATGAAATTATTTAGTTGCTCTCATGATGTGAATGGTTCTTAGTTTGTAATGTCGTCTAGGGTGGTTTTTTGGGGCGTTACAACCGACTTGTGGATTTTATAACTCTTTTTGTAAAAATTTTGGAGCAAACTAGTTCTGGCATGTAATTTTATTTAAAAGAGTTGTAATTGAACTCATATGGACAGTTTTTAATACAACATTGCATGTTTTTATATGAGTATGGATGAATGGACCCGGTGTGGTCAATTTTTACTCATAAATGGACTCGGTGCGGTCATTGTTTCATATTGGGCCTCGGATGGGTTATATGAATGTATATTGCACAGGTTGGGTTTTGGGTAGAACTCCCCATACAAAGGAGACTCTGCCCGAATTTGGTTAAATTATGGATCCCGGTAAATGGGATATTACGGCACGATA